TAAGAAAGAAAGAAAGAAAGAAAGAAAGAAAGAAGAAAGAAAGAAAGAAAGAACCACTGATATCCCAAAGCCTCTGATGGGAGAGTGGGCTTCTACCTCACGAGCTGTTTTTAATTATTTAGCAATTTCTACTTAGTGAGGAGGGCATCCGAATTGAGTTGCTGTTGGAAAAGGGAAATTGCTTGCAATTCTGACAGACAGACAATGTTTAGGTGATCTGCTGTTTGGGGTATGTTATGCATGTTTCCCCTTTCAGTTTTATCTATTGTACAAGACCTTGCCAAATTTTACAATGACATAAAAAAATGTTTTGTTTTTTAATAATAATAATAATTTATTTATACCCCACCCATCTGGCTGGGTTTTCTCCAACCACTCTAGGCGGCTTCCAACAAAATATTAAAATACAATCGTCCGTCAAACATTAAAAGCTTCCCTAAACAGTAAAATAGACACAATGACAATGCCCTGCTTTAGTCATCAAAGTGTTAACAAGATTTATAAATAAAATAAAACAAAACAGACACAGTGTCCCTCTCCAGTCATCAAATCAAAGGTTTAAAAACCACAAATGGGAGATGATCCGAGTTTTCAGCCCATCTGCATGTTTGTCTTTTGTATATGTGAGAGAGAGCCACACAAACCCTGAAACATTGGCAAAGGCTATATTTGACTAACAGGTTCTCCACATAATGATTATGAATACTGTGAAAGAACTCTACTTTGTCTCTTCTCTTCCTCCATTTACTTTTTAGCTCATTTATGGCTCTGCTCCAGTGATGAATGATAAAAGCCCAGGGCTTCCCTTCTACCAGATGGCAGCTTCGGAAGCGCTTCAGTATGAGGGAATTCTCTCTTTGCTTCTGCATTTCAGGTGGACGTGGATTGGAGTCATTGCAACAGACAATGAGAATGGAGAAAGATTTGTGCAAACTATTTCCCCCATGTTTACCAACAGTGGTGTCTGCTTTGCATTCATAGAAAGAATCCCTGATTTCAGTTTTATTTCTGAAATGTATGGCTTGCTAGAACTGGCGACCAATATACAAGACAAAATCTTTAGCAGCAAAGCGAATGCAGTGGTGACCTCTGGAGAGTCTTATTCCATGGCAAATTTTTTATGGCTTCCATACTTATCAAAACATGATGACTTGATTAATAATGTAAAAAGTAAAGTATGGATAGTAACAGCCCAGGTTGAGTTCGCTTCATTTGTCTTTCAAAGGAACTGGGATTCAAGAGTATTCAATGGTGCTATATCCTTTGAAATTCACTTTAGAAACCCACCAGGATTTCATCAGTATGTTGTGCACAGAAACCCTTCCAGCACAGATGGGGACGGTTTTATCAGGGACTTCTGGCAACAGGCCTTTGGATGTATATTCCCAGATATGACTTCAGACAAGGTGGAGGGGAATATTTGCACCGGAGAAGAGAAGCTGGAGAGCCTTCCTGGATCATTTTTTGAAATGAGCATGACAGGCCACAGTTACAGCATCCACAGTGCTGTTTATGCCATGGCCCATGCTTTACATGCCATGTCCACATCCAGACTCAGACACAGAAGAATGGCGTACGGAGGAAGAGGGAAGAAACTGAATCCACAGTTTTGGCAGGTAAATGTTGTTACATCCTCAACAGTGAGAGCTCTGTTGCTTCCTCATAATCAGAGTTGTGCCCAACACTGGGGGAGGAGGAGTGCATGACATCACAGTTGACCAATCACCCCCCCCCCTACATCTTACCTTCATGAAAGGGATGCACTAGGGCAAATATGCTTCATTCTGGATAGTTGGGGAGGTCTTGGTGTGATCAAAGCATGTGCCTGGGTAGAGCTAGGCTTGGTACGATTCTGGCCACTGGCCCCTCCTGCCCCAGAGCTCTTGGGCTTCTGGCCCTTCCTGCAATTCTTCTGCAGGTAGCCTTCTTTCTCACACTTCCAGCAATTTCACTCCTCCGAGGCTGCATTTTGTGATTAGTGCAAATCACACGGTCTGTCTGAGAGGAAGCGTGAGAACTGGATATAGCCCTATCTGTATGTATAATGTGATGTACTTTCACTTTTACCTGTTGTCTCTCGGAGCTGGATGAGAAAGAGCACCATGATTCCTTGTCTGTGTTGTTGTTGTTGTTGTTGTTGTTGTTGTTTAGTCGTTTAGTAGTGTCCAACTCTTCGTGACCCCATGGACCAGAGCACGCCAGGCACTCCTGTCTTCCACTGCCTCCCACAGTTTGGTCAAACTTATGTTGGTAGCTTCGAGAACACTATCCAACCATCTCGTCCTCTGTCATCCCCTTCTTGTGCCCTCCATCTTTCCCAACATCAGGGTCTTTTCCTGGGAGTCTTCTCTTCTCATAAGGTGGCCAAAGTATTGGAGTCTCAGCTTCAGGATCTGTCCTTCCGGTGAGAACTCAGGACTGATTTCCTTAAGAATGAATAGGTTTGATCTTCTTGCGGTCCATGGGACTCTCAAGAGTCTCCTCCAGCACCATAATTCAAAAGCATCAATTCTTCGACGATCAGCTTTCTTTATGGTCCAGCTCTCACTTCCATACATCACTACTGGGAAAACCATAGCTTTAACTATACGGACCTTTGTTGGCAAGGTGATGTCTGTGTAATACAGTGTAAATAAAAAGTAGTTTAGAGCTATGATACTTCATTCTTCTTGCTGTGTTAAGCCAGAAGACCAGTGTGCATAAACCAAGCTGGTTTATGTCTCTGGAGCGCCATGGAGAAGAAGGTGGTGCCTTTTCCAGAGCAATGCTCACCGGAGGACGCTCGGAGAAATGGAGGAGGGGGCTGCTGATAGCCTGGAGAGTTCTCCCAACAGTCTTCACTCTGGCACATCCTTTTGAGGATTACGGTTTTATTTTGGAACTATTATATGGCAAAGGCACCCACCCCCCACTATGTTGAATATGTATGGCTTCACAAAATGCTGTCACCTTAGTCTTTCCTCTAAGAGTTCAAACATTTGGGCAGAGTCCAGAAATGAATTTATAATTCTGCTGACAGAGGAGAAGGCACTGATATGATGGTTTCCTAGATGATTCCCCACATACTGTGCTGCTTGCAGATCTGGGCTACATAATGGCAGTATACCCCCAGAGGAAAGGGAAATGATGGTTGTGTCCTATTTTGAGTGGTTACTGCCCTGTATTTGAGGAGAAAGCATTTGTATGAGAGAAGCTTTGCAGCCCATTGAAATCTGCATTCACAGAAAGGAAGTAGTGGTCATAGCCAATAGAGAGGTTCGGCATTCTCTCTAGCCCATATCCACCAAATCCTTCCTCAGAGCAGGTGGCTGCACAACACTGTGTCTCATGGAGAGGGAGAAAGGGAAAGATGGAAAAGGGAGTGTGGGGAAGAAGGGCTTGAGATCTGGGATATTAGTGGAAGAAGATTGGAAGAAATTTAAAGACTATTTACAGAAATATTGTAAAATTAATGAATGTTAGAATGATGTTGGATTGAAGTTAAGTGGCTTTAGCAGTAATGTTATTAAGATTTATGTAGAAATGGATTGTTAATAGATGGGAATTTGAAGTAATAATATACTAAGATAAAGGATCAAGATAAGATCAAAGAGGGAAAGGATTTGCTGAATTAATTAATTGAACTGGAATGCAAAAAAGGGAGGTGTGAGGGGAGGTCAGGGAAACAAGTGAATGAAAGTAAGGATATGGAAAGATTGATTTGTTTTTAATTGTTACTTTACTTTTTCTGTTTTTTGTATTCTTTCTTTTTATTTTATTTTTTGTATTATTGTAAGTTTGTATGAAACTTTAATAAATATATTATTATTTTTTAAAGAGATCTGGGATATTAAGACTTCTCTAAGGTAAAGGTAAAGGTACCCCTGCCCCTACGGGCCAGTCTTGACAGACTCTAGGGTTGTGCACTCATCTCACTCTAGAGGCCGGGAGCCAGTGCTGTCTGCAGACACTTCCGGGTCACATGGCCAGCGTGACAAGCTGCATCTGGTGAGCCAGCGCAGCACACGGAACGCCGTTTACCTTCCCACTAGTAAGCGGTCCCTATTTATCTACTTGCACCCAGGGGTGCTTTCGAACTGCTAGGTTGGCAGGCACTGGGACCGAGCGACGGGAGCGCACCCCGCCGCGGGGATTCGAACCGCCGACCTTTTGATCAGCAAGTCCTAGGCACTGAGGCTTTAACCCACAGCGCCACCCGCGTCCCTTAAGACTTCTCTAGGCATATTGAATATGCCTCTCTAGGCATATTGGGACGCGGGTGGCGCTTGTTAGGATATTTCCGTTCCACCTTAAAAAGGAGCAGGATGTTTGTGTCACAGCCTGCGTATTTCCTGTTCACAGGATGTTTCTGTTGTGTCTTTGCTTTCGTTCTCTCTCTGTGTCTGAAGCAGGCAGTCATGTTTTTTCTTTGTTCTGACCAACGCTGAATAAACTTGTAAATAATGCTATCTTTCGCTATACGAACTCTGCGATAGAGCGTGCATGAGCTCTGGAATGTGGAAAGCTATTTCTGAGGCCTCGTGTTGCTAATTGATTGATACTGCATTTCTACGGGAGGTCGATGGATGTCCAGAGACAGCGTGGGGGCATTATGGCTTTTGCCTCCCTGGCAGTATCCCAACAGCGCTGTGGGTTAAACCACAGAGCCTAGGATTTGCCGATCAGAATGTCGGCGGTTCGAATCCCTGCGACGCGGTGAGCTCCCGTTGCTCAGTCCCTGCTCCTGCCAACCTAGCAGTTTGAAAGCATGTCAAAGTGCAAGTAGATAAATAGGTACCGCTCCGGCGGGAAGGTAAACGGTGTTTCCATGCGCTGCTCTGGTTCGCCAGAAGCGACTTAGTCATGCTGGCCACATGACCCGGAAGCTGTACACTGGCTCCCTCGGCCAATAAAGTGAGATGAGCGCCGCAACCCCAGAGTTGGTCACGACTGGACCTAATGCTCAGGGGTCCCTTTACCTTTACCTTTAGGTATATTGAAAAATAAATCACATCTCTCAGAAATCATTTGCATCATATTTACAAATATTTTAATAACACTTGTTTCAACTCACAATGTGCCAGAAAACGTTAGTACATCTCTACAGCTACTTTGCAAAAGCCAGTACAGTGGTACCTGGGTTAAGAACTTAATTCGTTCTGGAGGTCCGTTCTTAACCTGAATCTGTTCTTAACCTGAGGTACCACTTTACCTAATGGGGCCTCCCACTGCTGCTGCACCACTGCCGCTGCAAGATTTCTGTTCTCATCCTGAAGCAAAGTTCTTAACCTGAGGTACTATTTCTGGGTTAGCAGAGTCTGTAACCTGAAGCGTCTACAACCCAAGGTACCACTGTAATCGAAAACAATGAACTAAAAAAGAAAAGGGTGGGGAATTTTTACTTCCAAAATGTAACAGAAAAACCACAGGTGTGATTTTCTTTCTTCTGAAAACTGAGAACAGGCGTCTCCTACTGAGATACAAATGTCCAGTTTGCACGTCATTATAAAGTATATAATGAATGTGGAGATTGCTCCAGCCTCACTCCTCCACTAGGATGAGTAAACAAACAATGACTCCTGACTTCGTGATAAATCCAAGCCGGTGAATTTGGTTTGGTTTGCTCAAACAAACTACAATTAGTAAGCCAAGAAGAAATTGGTGCTCCTGCTTTTGTTCAGGAAGGAGCGAAGTATGAAAAACCTCTGCAGTTCAGAGGTTTACCATGACACGGAAATTGGTTTGTTTTATTAAAGTTCTATCTTCATCCGAGGAGGATCACAGGGGGCTGTGGGTCCATCCACTATTACTAAGTAACTACAGTGGTACCTCGGATTACATGCGCTTTGGGTTACCTACACTTCAGGTTACAGACACCCCTAACCCTGAAATAGTGCTTCAGGCTAAGAACTTTGCTTCAAGAAGAGAACAGAAATCATGTTCCTGCGGCGCGGCAGCAGCAGGAGACCCCATTAGCTAAAGTGGTTCTTCAGGTTAAGAACAGTTTCAGGTTAAGAACGGACCTCCGGAACGAATTAATTACTTAACCTGAGGTACCACTGTATACCCTGAATTTCCTTGGTAAAATTTGCCTTTTCCTTGTGAAACTTGTAATATTATTTAGGTTCCTTAATTAAAATGGGTCTGAGGAAAGCATAGTTGGAGACAACACTAAAGTTGTTGCCCTCTGTTATAGTTTCAAACAGTCTAGGAATGACCTCTGTTTTACACACTGCAAAGACATTTCTTAGCAACAGAGACACAGCGGAGCAATTCCTGTGGATATTTCTTCTAAGTCTTAAAGGGAATACAAAATAAAGACCAGGTGAAGAAGCACAAAGCCACAGCCATCTTGATCATACAAGTCACATATTCTTAGTACAAAAAAATGAACTTGGGATGAAAGGAGGTTTGTCTTTAAGATATGCCCAACTGGAAGCCACAAAAGTTTATTCCTCATATCAGAGAATAAGCATGATTCCTTCACACTTCTCATCTTTTCCTACAATTTGTTCTGAGATGACTGGGGGGTAATGTCTGTGGGCCTTTAGCCTAGTCAGTCATGCATTAATGGCAAGTAGTATCAGCTGAATCCAGCATTACAAGGCTTAGGTAGCGTCAAAGTTTTCCAATACATTGTTTAAAATAACAAAAGTTGGCATGGCTGAAAACTTTTGTCACCATTTTTTTAAAAAAACACAGTATATTGAGAAGTTATGACATCATCAGTTAACCTCAAGAAATTGAGTATCGAATTTAATATTTTGGTCCAATTCCCCATTCCATAACATTAAACAGTGGAAGTGAAGGTAGGCAGGGAGAGAGAGACTATCAATAATTTGGGTGGGAAAAGCAGACTGGCACATTTGTGAAAGAAAATGGGATGGCTGTCTCCATGCTTGGACCTGACTCCACTCACAGTTGCCTAAATCACCACCCACCATTCGCTGAATGCTCTACACACAGGAAAAAAGGTTGCTCAGCCCTGTGTTAGACTGTAGCCTTTTCTAAACACCTGTCTTTTCTGTTTTCAATCTAGCTCCATCACTTTCTGAGAAGTATCTCATTTAACAATACTGCAGGAGATGTGGTCTTCATCAACCAGAATGGAGAGGCAGCATCTAGCTTGGATATTGTCAACTGGATCATATTCGCAAACCAAAGTTTCCACCGAGTGAGAGTTGGGAGGATAGATCCACAAGCTCCTCCAGATCAAAAATTAACCCTTGATGAAGATGCCATAACATGGCACAGTTGGTTTAACCAGGTAGGGCCACATTTTTATCTAATTCAGAAGAGATTCAGTATAGCTTAAGCAATAATTATCCACCTGCCTGTCTAATCACTGTCTTTTGAACTGCAAGTTACTGAATAGTGGATGGCCAAAGCAGGGTCACCAACTTGAATAAAATATTGGGGGAGGGGGCAGGTAAGCCCCACCACTACTTCTATGTACCTTATGTCTCTAGCTTGTCTGCTCCCTCGGTCTTCTCTATGGCCCCCATGTGGGATCCAGAAACATTCTAGAGAAAAGTTAATGTGCCACTAGATGCCACTGTCCGTTCACTTCAGCACCATCTTCAGTTTAAAATGCAAAATTCATTACATTAACAAAAATCATTGAAAATGGTAGAGGAGAGGGCCTGAGCATGCACCAATGAGCTGTATGAGGTTGCCATAATACCACACTGGGAATCCCTGGTTTAAAGATTTGGATAAAGCACTTTATAAATAAAGAAGCCAATTCACCATGTACCGTATTTTTCGCTCTATAGGACGCACTTTTTCCCCTCCAAAAACTAAGGGGAAATGTGTGTGCGTCCTATGTAGCAAATGCAGACTCCTTGGCATCAGCGATAGCAACACGAAGCCTCCGAAGCGCAGAGGGAGCGCTCCCGCTGTGCTCCGGAGGCTTCGGGTTCCTTTTGCTGAAGCCAGGAGAACAAGACTCTCCTGGCTTCAGCAGAGAGGAAGAGCTGTGCAGCACCCCTTCAGCGAAACGGGAGGAGAAATGGAAGGGGCTCCGTTTCTCCTGCCGCTTCGCTAAAGGGGCGCTGAGCAGAGATGGGGAGAATTTTCTCCCCCTTGTTCTCCCCCTCTAAAACAAGGTGCATCCTATGATCGGGTGCGTCCTATAGAGCGAAAAATACGGCATATCCCTAGAAGAGTGTTCCCTGTGGAACACCCTCCCTGCAGACGTCAAGGAGATAAAAGACCAACACAACTTTTTAGAAGGCATCCAAAGGCAGCCCTCTGTCGGAACAAGGAATAAAGGCAAATATTTCATTAAGGAGGTTACAAAACAGAGGAACCCTTTTACTATAAAATACTGTTAAGCAAGACTAACAGTGTAAACTTACCTTGGGGAATCTGATTGCAATGAAAATAGCGAAAGCTAGGTTGTCTCACCCTAATACCAACCCTTCACAGACCCCCACCACAAGCTTCATCCATACAAATGTGATTTTTACATCCCACTATCTTCATCTGAATGTGGATGAGTAGGCCCAAGTCAAATACCAGTTTTCCTATGAGAAGGCCTGGACACAGGAGGGCATGTTTTCTTTCACCTAATCACGGCCTTGGCATACACTTCCCCTGCGCTAGAGTGTGTACATCTGAAAGACCAATTAGCTATCCAGTGGATTTTTGCATGATCATGTTGACCTTGAAACAATCTTACTTCAAACAGTGCACACAGGAGGTCAGTTGGACTAATTAAATAGGTTCTTTTTTCCCCCTCTGAAAGACTGCAACCAGAATCCTAAGTATATAAAGAAAGCTATTGCAAAATAAACCAAAGAAATTGGGATTTCTTTATAAATATTAAATACTGGTTATGAACTGAGTGAAAGACTATGTATGAATTGATAACGCCCATGATTTTGCCTTTCTTGCGAGAAAAGTAGAGAAATGAAGTGGTTCGGGAAAGGAGGAAAAAAGTGAAAACAGACAGCAGCAGCAGCAGTTTCAGGATACCACTAGTCTTCTAAGGGAGCCAGTGGAAGAGGTGGAAGCAGGAAAAGTGGTGAAGATACAGAAAGTGAAGGAGGGGGCTGAGAGCAAAGGTGTGAAGAGCATAGGGAATGGATGCATCAGTCTGAAAAAAGAGAGGTATCTCAAAATATGTATTCCAAAGCATATTTTCCCCTTAACATGCTCAGTGCTAAATCTCTTGGATAGCATCATTCCAATACATGTATTTGTCCAGAATTTGTCCAGAGATGCCTACCTAGTGGACAACATACTAAGAAGTAACGATTATAACAAGATTAACAGGGACACTAGAGTGCCTGCACAACCCAGAACAATAGAGGAGATATTACATCATGCCAAACATTACTACTACTAAAAAGAAAAGTAGCAATTGCTCTTGGTAGAGGCATTCTGTGTCAGTTTAGAAACATAGAGAAGAGCCGTAGAACCTGAAACATTCTGAACTCATTATTCTCTCGATGATTCTTCTGCTCTTCCATTTATGGATTAGACTCAGCCTCTTTCAGTCTGTACTGAGCGTTGTCTTCCAGGATCCAGCAAGAAAGTGAAGGAGGGAGAGCCCCCTTGCTGCTACGATTGCATCCCATGTCCAGAGGGGAAGATTGCAAAACAGGATGGTAAGGGAAAGAATTTGATTAAATGGGTCCTTTTGACTAAAAGGTGTCAGGATGGCTGAGGTTAAGTTTCAAAAGAAGCTATAAGTTATTGTATGTGTGTCCCTGCCTCTTGGTGGTCATTGTCCTTCAGATATTGGTGGTAGTAGCAGTAGTAACAATAATTTATATTCAGTCCATCTGACTGGGTTGCCCCAACCATGCTGGACAGCTTCCAACAAATTAAAACATCAACAACAGTAAAACATTAAGGGCTTCCCTATATAGGGATGCCGTCAGGTGTCTTCTAAAAGTCAGATTGTTGTTTACTTCCTTGACATCTGATGGTCAGACATTCTTAGGGTGGGTGGCACTACAAAGGAGGCCCTGTGCCCAGTTCCCTGTAACCTCACATCTTGCAATGGGAGAACTGACAAAAGGCAATCAGAGCTTAATCTCAGCATACAGGCTGAACGATGCAGGTATACAGGGTCAATATTTAGAGAGAGAGTTGGAATATGTTAATCAAATGAGAATAAAATTGCATTGAGAGTAGCTAGGTGGTATGTGGTTCAAATCGTATCCAGACTGGTCCTTGTCACTCCTTCCGACTTACATAAGCTGCACTCAAGCTAGTGTGACGATACATTCAAATATCATGAGGAGGAATGGCCTTGCCTATGTCGATTATAGGACGGCATCACTCTGAACCACATAACAGAGTACTGGACATATGTTTTATTTTGAGCTGAGCTCTTTTCTTCTCAAGACAGAAAGTAAGCATTTCAGCAAGCTGGCATTAAAGGAGCTAAGGACCATATCCTTATTTTTTCCAGATATGAATGACTGTTATAAATGCCCAGACAAAGACTATCCAAGCAAGAACCGGAATGCATGTCTATCCAAGGATATAAGCTTCTTGTCTTATGAAGAAACTTTGGGCATCAGTTTGGCCTCTTTCTCTTTTTTCCTTTCCTTGATCACAGCTCTGGTACTAGGTATATTTATGAAACACCACAACACACCCATTGTCATTGCAAACAACCGAAACCTCACCTACACTCTCCTCATCTCTCTCCTGCTCTGCTTTCTTTGTGCATTGCTCTTCATTGGCCGACCTGAGAAGGTCACATGTCTCCTCCGGCAACCAGCTTTTGGTATCATCTTCTCAACCGCTGTTTCTTGTGTCCTGGCAAAAACCTTCACAGTAGTTTTGGCCTTCATGGCTACAAAACCAGAATCCAGGATGAGGAAATGGGTGGGGAAAGGACTAGGCCACTCCATTCTCCTTTTCTGCTCCATAGTTCAAGCAGGGATATGTACTCTGTGGCTGGCAACTTCACCCCCATACCCAGATGTGGACATGTACTCAATGACAGAAGAAATCATACTAGAATGTAATGAGGGGTCTGTGACCATGTTTTACTGTGTCCTCATCTACATGAGCTGCCTGGCCACTGTAAGTTTTGCTGTGGCTTTCCTCGCCAGGAAGTTACCGGACAGTTTCAACGAAGCCAAGTTTATCACTTTCAGCATGTTGGTCTTCTGCAGTGTTTGGCTGTCCTTTATTCCTTCCTACCTGAGCACCAAGGGAAAATACATGGTAGCTGTGGAGATCTTCTCCATCTTAGCCTCCGGTGGTGGGTTGCTGGGTTGCATCTTTTCCCCCAAATGTTATATAATTATTCTGAGGCCTGAGCTGAACAATAGAGAACAGCTAATAAGGAAGAAAAATTAAAGAAATAATAAACCTGCCCTTTGCTGTCTTTCGTGCTTTTCTCTTATATTTGGAAATATAAGTTCAGCTGCTGCCTTTTATATTTTTTTCTAGAGTCCAAATTCCCATAGTTGAAAATTCATTTGTAAAATTGACTTATTTGCTTTGAGGAAAACAACCATACGTTTACACATACATTACTCTCTTGTAGCATGTGCTGACAAGAAGACTCAAAGCAATTCTTGTCAAAATATATGTAAGGAAATCTTTATCTGTCCTTAATTCTGAATGATCAAACTTGTCTTACAGCTTTCAGCATAATGGAATATATGAGTACTCATTATTGTTCTGTTCTGCTAACAGTCATATTTCACCATCAACCTATCCATACCAAAGATCGTATAAATGGAAGATGATCCTCTTGAAGCAGGCCAATGGCCCATCTGGTCCCGCAGCCTGTACTCTCACTGACCAACCAGATACCTGTGGGAAACCTTGAAGCCGTACCCAACTGCAAATGCACTCTCCCCACCATTGTTTCCTGTGTCAGTGAGTTCCATAGTTTATCAATGTACTGTAACATACTCACCATTGAATTGGGTTTCCCTCCCCACAAGATTTTTTCTGAATCATGTCTCCTTGAAGAAATTCAGAGTCCTAGATAAGAAAATGTAAATGAATTCTGCCCTCTTATTCATGGAAAAGATGGCAGCAAAGGACCATGCAGACCTCACTGCGCAACGCATTTGACAGATAAGTAAAGGTAAAGGGACCCCTGACCATTAGGTCCAGTCATGAACGACTCTGGGGTTGCGGTGCTCATTTCGCTTTATTGGCCGAAGGAGCCGGCGTACAGCTTCCGGGTCATGTGGCCAGCATGACTAAGCCACTTCTGGCAAACCAGAGCAGCGCACGGAAACGCCGTTTACCTTCCCGCCGGAGCGGTACCTATTTATCTACTTGCACTTTGACAGGGCAGGGACCGAGCAGGGACTGAGCAACGGGAGCTCACTCTGTTGTGGGGATTCGAACCGCCGACCTTCTGATCAGCAAGTCCTAGGCTCTGTGGTTTAACGCACAGTGCCACCCGCATCCCGTTATTTGACAGATAAGTAAAGGTAAAGGGACCCCTGACCATTAGGTCCAGTCATGAACGACTCTGGGGTTGCGGTGCTCATTTTGCTTTATTGGCCGAAGGAGCCGGTGTACAGCATGACTAAGCCACTTCTGGCAAACCAGAGCAGCGCACGGAAATGCCGTTTACCTTCCCGCCGGCGCGGTACCTATTTATCTACTTGCACTTTGACATGCTTTTGAACTGCTAGATTGGCAGGAGCAGGGACCGAGCAACGGGAGCTCACTCTGTTGTGGGGATTCGAACTGTCGACCTTCTGATCGGCAAGTCCTAGGCTCTGTGGTTTAACCCACAGTGCCACCCGCATCCCGTTATTTGACAGATAGGGAGCTACAATTGAAAAGTTTTATTTCACCATTACTTGTGATGTATCAGAACACTCTATACTTAATACATATACGTATCATATATGTGACAAGTATATTGTTGGATATTCCATTGACTGTTGGCACCCTTCATCTAATGTTTGATGAGCAGATAAAATTGATTAGATCTAACCATGATGAATGGAGAATGCAAGTAAACCAGAGTAAGCCCCATTAAACCTTAAAACATTTATTTCTGTGTGGACATCTGTGGACTATGCTTGTTAAGTATTGTCTGTAAGATTATGCCCTCCTTGCCGAAGGTCCAGGGTATTCAAGTGGAGACAGAAATGGAAGGAAGTAGGACTAATAATAATAATAATAATAATAATAATAATAATAATAATTTTATTATTTATAACCCACCCACCTGGCTGAGTTTCCCCGGTCACTTTGAGTGGCTTACAGCAGATATAAAAACACAGGCAAACATATTATTTCTTTTCTTGTTATTTGCTTTTAATCCCCTAAAGTTTGGCTGGGAAGCCTATAGTCCTCCAGATATTGCTAGACTACAGCCCTCATCATTGCTGACCATTTTCCATGCTGTCTGGGGTTGATTGGTTTTGGAAGTGCCACACATCCCCAACCCTTGCCCTAGTGGAAGTGAAGCAGAATGCATATTTAAAAAATAAAATGCAGAAGTTTGCAGAAGAAGCCAGAGATATCAGCATCCCTGAATGAAGGTGGACACTGAATTAAATTCACCCAAAAGGCTAGTCAGGCTCAGCAACTTTCGGAATCATAACCACCCTCAGCTGCAGCTGGATGAACTGTGGGGTCCGAGAGATTTCAGGTATACTTTTTCTCACTAAGTTTCTAGCTCATGGAGGCTGACAGAATCAAGAGTGACTTTTCACAAGGCTCTATAAAAGGACTCATAAAGGACGGCATGGGGCACCAACTCAACCTCTCTAGAATCACAGGGGCATTGGCCCTTGAGGGTTTGGGCAAACATGCATTCCCAAGGCACAGGGGAAGGAGGCTGAGAGCCAGTGGACACTACTGTAATCCGACAGAACAGCAATGAGCAGCCATTCCAGTCATGCCAGATGCTCGTGTGACTCCAGGTCCACTCAGCCAAATTCCAAGATGCTGACTGCACCATGCTACATGTTGGAGTCTTCATTGGCTACAAGGAATTCTATTATGAGCTTCTAACGTCTAATTTCACCCATACACCATTCGTCTATTATTATCTAATGAAAGGGAAATTAAAATAACAGTTCTGAATATTTTCTTCAGCAATTTTCTTCTGCAATTCCACAGGGAATCCCGAGCATTGGATGAACAACTACACTCCTGCTTGGTTATTAACAGGGCTATAATTAATATGCTGCTCCTCAAAAATCCCTGTGTATTTTCTCTGGCCACTGGCAACATAACACAAAGGATACTAAAACTTAACCAGAATTATTTAAATACTGTCTGGGATCAGCAAGTCTAATTTTGGATACTTCCATATTGTGTCCCCTCAGGAAAGTAATCTACCATTTAAATGAGACAATTTTTATCTTGGAAAAACCTATTCTAGTATTGCCAGAAAAAACCATAGCTGCTGCAAAAAACAAAGAGTTGCGTTTGTATTAAGGATGGTGTTTTTAGTGTTCTTGCTGCTGGAACTGATTTCTTACAATGTATGTGAGGCTCACATAGCAAAATGCAGGCTCCAAGGTCCACACCATCCACTTCACATGTATCATCAGCCAGGAGAGTTCCTCATTGGTGGCATAGTTTTCCATGGTGGCTTCATCGCCTCTCCAGCAACATTCACTGAGGAACCCCCACCAGCACTGCCTGAAGAGCTCGTGTAAGAACTAAGCCACTCATTTTATTACATCAAAGGAATGATCAAACCTAGAGTTGCAGCCTCAGAATAATGAGTGAGGCAGCAAATGTTTACCCTTTTATCTAGGAGAATCCACTTTAGATATGAATGGGACTTATGCGGTGCAAAAAATTGGGACGAATGTCTTGTGAATTAAGAGAATATAGGAGAAATTCACATTTCTGGATAGAGAAATGAATATAAATGTATTGAAATGTATGTATGCATGTTTGTGTGTTTGGGAGAGGCCTTATAAGCAGCCCATTTTGCTAGACTTTATCTGAACTACTAGACTATTAGTAAGAATGTATTTTTAAAAACCTGTTCTGAGGCTGAATGTCCTTATGCTTTCATTTTCTGAACTTAGACTAAGCTTTGTTTCAGCACTGAAAGGTACTTATTATGAAGTATAGAACGACCAGCACTGACTCACGAAAAGGAAGTCACTGCAGAGAGAAATCAGAGAGACCAGAGACTTTGTAAGTGTCAGAAAAAGACCTCCGACATGTAAGGGAAGACGTCCCATGAGCCCCACATTAGCAACCCCTACTCTAGATACTACTGAGTTTAAAATATTTAAAAACCTGGGGAAAAGTAAGAGGGGTACCTACAAATACACAAATCTAAGATGAGGAAACACTTGGCTTGCCAGTAGTACATGTGAAAAGGTTCAAGGGATCTGCATCAACAGAAGTATAGTGTCCTGATGAAAGGAAATAATAGTACTGCTCTATTCTGCCTTGGTCACCTGAAGTCTGTGTCCAGTTCTGATCACCACAATTTAAGAAGGATATTGACAAGCTGGAACATGTGCAGAGGAGGGCTACAAAGATGGTCTGGAAACCAAACCTTATGACGAACGGATGAGGGGGTTTGGTATGTTTATCTATGATGAGACTGAGGAGAGGAATGATAGCCATTGTAAAATATCTCAAGAGCTGTCACCAGGAAGATGGAACACACTTGTTTTCTCTTGCTCCAAATCAGGATATTCAATTTACAAGAAAGGAGATCAAACTGAGAGTTAACCCCACTGAACTCAATATGATTAACTACTCTGTTGATATGTAAAAGAATACTTATTTTGAAGTTCCTGCTGATACATTTGCAACTCTCATTCTAGGGTGGTACCTAAGGGTTACCAGCACATCGTGGCCTTGGCATTTGCAGTCAAGCAGATCAACAAAGACCCTCACATCCTACCCAATATCACCTTGGGCTTCCACTTATATGACAGCTATATCAGTGCAAGAAACACATATTTTGCCACACTGCAGCTTTTATCCAGGGTGGAGACATTTGTCCCTAACTATATATGTGATGCTGAAAATAGTCTGACTGGAGTCATTGGGGGACTGGATTCTGAAATCTCCTTTTATGTGGCAACTATTTTGGATATCTATAAGATTCCACAGGTAGGACACTAGTGATCAATACCTCTATTAGCTTGCATAGAGAAGAGGCAGGTTCCTCAGCATCAGTTCCGGGTGAAGATGAAATTGCAAGGAGAACCATGTACACCACCTTGAGATTCTTGGAAAATAAAGGTGGTACATAATTGTAATATAAGCAAACAACAGGCAGGCAGGCAGACAGACAGACAGACAGACAGACAGACAGAGAGACAAACCTGAATAAAGGGGAAGGTTGCAATACCTGTGGGGATGCGGGT